GAGAGAGAGAGAGAGAGAGAGAGAGAGATTCTTCCCAGCCCTAAAAACTTGAACTTTGAGGGGCAGGATCTCCCTGGCGTGGCAGACCGTGGAGGACTGTCTCCGGCGGCGCCTTGGCCAGCCTAGCGCACTTCTCCAAACCTCCTCTCACTGTTCAAGGTGCAAAGAGTCCTTTAGGGCCACTCAGCTCCCCTTGGCAAGGCCAGCCCAAGGACGGAGTAATCTTCTTGCACCTCTCCAAGTTCAAGAAACCCACAAACTTGAGCCTAAATAGGGGAGGGGAGAAGGCCATGACAATGACAAGATGACTAGTAGGGACCATGGCCACCACTGCCCAGCCTGTCCTGGGCACTAAGCTACAGTTTCACCCAAACTTGACACTCACGGGAGAAGGATGGAGGCTCTGTGAGCCTTAAGGAGGCTCACCCAAGGTCACAGGGCTGGAACATGCCACAGCTGGGACCAGACCCCACCCCATCTTCCCCACCCCATCCTGTCTGAGTCCAGAATCCATTCCTGGAATCACAACAGACTCATGACATCATGACCTTGGAAGCCAGCTTTATAATCATTTTCGTAGGCCCTGAATATTCCTCAGTGGCCACTTGACAAGCAAATATCGAGTGTCAACTGTATGAACTCACTGTGAAATGAGCTGGAGTAAAGGAAGTGCCAGAGTCAAGGTATAGGCAGGTTCTTGGGCCTGAGTGGGTGAGGGGCAATCCAGGTTGACTTCCTGGAGGAGGTGGCATCTGGCACACACCTTGAAGAACTAGCAGAATGTAGGGAGGTAGGGGGAAGGGAGGTATCTCTCCCACTGGGCAAGGTTGCTAGAGTGGCCCCTGAGGACTAAATTTGAGTGTGGCTTCCCCTGGAGACTGCGTCCTCCTGCAGGGACAGAGGAGTATGTCCTGAGAAGTACCTACTGTGTGCCCGGCCCCTGCTAGTCCTAGGGTGAGAGCAATCAAAGTCACCATCCCTCCCTCAGGGAGGCAGTAGAGCATCGTGCAAGGATTGCAGGTAGCTCTGGCGGAGCCCCAGCCCCCTCCGTTGGCCTTCTGAAGCCCCCGTCCCCCTCTGCAAAAGGAAGACCAGGCTGTGGGGATAAATGAGATGAACTGTGTTCCAGACTCTGCTCTTGCCTAGTCAGAGAACACCAAACATTCTTTAATTGGGAGTGCTGGCAACATTACGGGGCTCGGGAAAGACGCTTATCCTGGAGGAGATGCACAGAAGCAAAGAGGGAGCTGGACAGGGCGGGCATGCAGAAAGCAGGAGAGGCTCCCCGGAGGAGGTGAGGACTGAGTGACAGCAGGAGTCAGCCAGCGCGGGTGGAGCGGGAAGGGGCAGGGAGCGCATTCCTGACTTCGATCTCAGAAGCGTCTCTCCTCCGCGAGGTGACCCTCCACCGAAGCGCAGCGTCTGGAGACTTATTTAGGGTGGGAGCTCGGAACTTTCCTCTCCGGTGTGAAACCTTGGCCACCCTCAAAGGAGCTAAAGGGACACTCTCCTCGGATAAAAATAAAACTTGGAGGGGCCCGCAGGAATGGAATACTTTCTTCCTGTGTTTAAATTTCTACGGAAAATCTGACCCGCGTGGCCGCCGCCCCGGCCATAGGCGGGCGCACAGCGCTTATAGCGTTCCTCTCGGCGAAGGCC